TTGTCGACCCCACAACTAACCATCACCCTCATCTCATTAGTTGGCTTCCCTCTACTGGATCTGAATTTTTATGGTTGGTTTGCAAAGTGCAGATGTGTGACCTCCTCTATGATGAAGGCATCGAGGAGATGAACTTTTGCTTCTCAAGCTTTGATTTAGTTGAGATGTTTAAGCAATATTGGTCACTTCCAAGTAAATTTTATGATGATGTGATATATGTCTACTAATTTCCATTTTTTCCCTTTGTGTTCAGGTATCTATACTAAAGGTTGCAGTACAACACTAGTTGGTTACAATTTTGTAGATTTCCTTTTACCCTTAGTTTGTGCTCCCTCCGATCCAAATATAAGTGTCGCAGCTTTGAACTAAGGTGTTCAACCTTAGTTCAAAACGGCGACATTTATTATGGATCGGAGGAAGTAGTAAATGCCAATTAGTATAGTCCCTTAAGACCTAAAAAGTAGCATAGGATATGGGAGCAAAAGGTTCAACGAAAACTTTTAAAACCTGAGATGCAAGTATATTTTGTAGGCTTGTAGTGCATGCTCACCTGTACGAGCTAGAACTTCCTTTGTGTTGGCGGAAGTGTTAGCCTGCCATTATCAGTTGAGTATAGGGCCTGACCAGTGTTTTGGTCTTTCATTTACTTTTTACCAACTCAAGTAAAATGTTTGAAATATTATATCGGCCACATCACTAGAATTTGGTTGGACTATGGTTGCATGTTTAAGTCGAAAGAGGGATCGACCTTCAACATTGCCTCGTCAGGTTGTTTAGTTCCAACGAGGTCTAAATCCATTCCCCCATCTTGTGTCGATTGCCTTCTTAGTACTAATGTTTCCCCTTAGTGACATTGTCTATTTGGTGTCCTTTTTTGTACAAAATTACTTTATGATGTTCATCCTGCTAAGCTACAGGGGTAATAGTGCTTCTAGTATTTGTAATTTTAAATCATGGTCAATTGATCAGTTATGGATCAGATGGCTTAGTATGTGAACAGAGGCTCTTTGCTCCAATCAATCAGTGGGAGATCAAATAGCTTAAGCTTGCCGTACACAATGCAATGTAACTAGAATAGTCTTTATCTTTTAATCAGTTTCCCAGTTATATTTCTTCTAGAATTTAGTTTTTTTACTTTGTGATTTATTGGCATTTTGTTAGATGATACATGCTTCTAATTACAGTACAGATCAGGTCCAAAATCAGGATACATGACAGCTGCAAAGCAAATATATCAAAGTTGCTCGGGTGGATCTATTGTGGTTCAAGCTCCTCAGGTGGATCTAATCAAGACAACTTATTGACCGTCTTCCATTTCAACTGAAGCAATGTGGGGTGGCGCATGTGGAGTAGGAGGGTAGAAGAGAAGATGGAGAAGGTGGTTCTTCTGGCCTTATGTTGAGTGTTGAATCTGGGGTATATGAAAATACTTGAGTTGAAGAAGATCCGGTACTGGATATAAATGATTGAGGAGACGCATGACTTAAATAAAAAGAGTTGTGAAAATATGAAATAAGGAAATTACTGTTTTTTATTGAGTCTTCATCTAAAGACGACATTTGTATGACCCTTGCATTCACAAATTGAAGAAACTGTTGTCGAACACCTTTGTTGGTTGCAATTATCCTACAAACATTATCATTTCAAAAGTAGCAGCACAAATTTTATTCTTAAAAAACATATTTATTCCATGTAAAAACATATTTTTATCCCGTGCCAGCGCACGGGCAGCCATTTGTGTCGGAAGATAGCATCAATCATGCATCCCTTCTGGTCAATGAGACTGATAGTGGGTCTCGATTGCCATTTGTGTCGATTCATATTCATACTTGTGTTTTGGGAGTTTATTGCCTGCATAACAACAAAAGTATATTGGATGAGACGAGGCAAGCATGTTTTTTGCTTGCATGGTCGCTTCAGCCTTAGCATCTGTAGCGCATGTAGCCAAAGTAACTGTGGCTGTACTACCAAAAATGCTAGACTTACGGGGCTCAGCCTACAGACGAAGGTTACGGGATGGGGTGTTCTAATCTCATTGATTCTCGCTCTCTGATTTTAGCAGCGGGCCCAAAATCATGATGAATGCTAAGTCTCCACCTCATCTCCGTAACAACTTTCCGTTAAAACTTCCCGTAGCTGTAGCAAAGCCCCTGTACTACTATTATAGAGCAAAGCTGGTTGTCTTGAGCTTAATATGAGATCCAAGTCTCATAGAGAGGGGTCGATGATAAGAAGCATCTGTGGTACATCGTACTTGTGGTCCTCTCTTGAGAGAGCTATATGCTGTTTTAGAAGAAAGAAAAATAGAGTGTACAGATTGATCAAACTGAACTTAAGCCACCATATTGTAATTGTTACTTTTGAAGAATGTTACATTGGTTGTTTTTTGTTGTTGTCATTTTCTTACACTAGCATCAAGAACTATAAGCATATGGTAATATTTGATTGGGAGTAGATGTATCTCTCAAAAATGTATTAGCTGAGACGTGCGTTGCACGTGCAAGCTTACTAGTCTTTGTATATCCACGTGAACTAGCAGCACTAAGCAGCCTTGGGACTTGAGCCTGTAATCCAGCCGCAGCAATTTACGGTTCTCAGCGGATCGGACAGCGGAAATCTTTTGTCCGTTTCGATGGAAACTTTGACCTAACAGATTGCAGGACTCAGCGAAACAAATCTTCTGTCGGCGGCGTGTAAAACACAAAACCCTAATTCTTTTAATCTCAATCTCGTATGTCACTCTGACAGCTTGCCACGGAGACGATGTATATTCTTTTGCACCGGCTCTTTTTCCTCCAGCACATCACGAACTTCTCGATTCTTAAAGAGATCCCTTCAAGAACTCAACACCACCATGCGCGAGCCCCACGGTGGGCGCCAACTGTCGTGGAATTGTTACGGCAGATGTCCTAGTGTGAGGACTTAGTCGTGAGGCCAGCGCATCTTTATGGTAGCTTGAGAGGGGTTGATCGGGATGAGAGGCGCAGGGCGGATCAACGCACAAGGATAAGGATTTAGACAGCTTCGGGCCCCGGGAAACATCATCCGGTAATAGACCTACATGCTGTTTGTAGCTAGATCTCATTATGCTCATGAGAGAGTCGGCACATAAGCCGGCTCCTCCTTTGTGTCTAGCCTTAGAGATTGTTTCTTGTTACCCCTCTCTCTTTAGAGAGCCCTGCCCCTCCTTATATAGGTTGAAGGGGCGGGTTACATGACTAGTCCTAGTAGGATTAGGATTACATTATTTACAAGTGTAGTCCTAGTCATGCTTCCTTGTAGAAGAATATTCCTTATGTCTTCCTCTTAAGCCGGCCCACCATAACATGAGCCGACCTTCTGGGTCTTGGGCCTTGTCATCCATCTGAAACACTCGCCGGGTCACCAACGAGTCTTCAGGCTCGTGAGTCGTCACACCAGTGAACCGCCAGACACATGAGTCGCTAATCTTCCGGCGGGTTGCCAATGAAACGCCAAGTCCGGTCGGGTCATATATCCGGCCGGGTCATACCGCGGGGTATATCCTTGACAGCGTCTGTATTTTTTCTCCCATTGCAACGCATGAGTGCTTCTGTCCATCGTCGAATTTTTGCACAAAATCCCTTGCTATTTTTCAAAGTCAATCTGTGGTTCTATATTAAATGACTAGAAAATGGTTCGCTTTTTGCAAAAAAAAAACACTTGATTTTTGTTTAATCAACCTACAATCATGTTTTAAGTGAGTCTGGAAGATGTTTTGCTTTTTGTAGAAAACTGTCTAATATTTTTGGATAATCAACTTGATGTCCATCTGTAAAATGATGTTTTTTTTACAGATTCAAATGCTTGTGAAAATACCAACATCTTTTAAAACTTAACTTCAATTTTGACATGTTATATACGAAAATTGGTTAGAAAAAATGTAGAATCTAAATATGATGTTGTTTTAGTTGTTAAATGTTTTAAATTGCTATTTAAAGTGCAACCTTAATCAATAGCGCACCATTCATTTCTTTCGTACGAGTGTAGATCCGGATTGGAAATCAACACCTCAACAAAATCAGATTAGACACGAAAGAAACCAACTATAATCATGCATGCACGCCTCCACAAAACCTCGAGAGAGAGAAAAAAAGAAGATTTCTCATTTTATCTAGAGGAGAGATATTTTAGGATTGAGCATCAAACACGTTATGATTGTGTCAGCACTTAAACTATCATCGACGAGGGCGGGAAAAAAGATAAACGACAACACAGATAGGATGCACATGGACCTATTGGGATCTTCAATCATGGCTATTGGGTAGGAGCATGTGGTATTATTTTCTTCTGTTGGAACGGACGGGCTCTCTTGCTAGTAATAGCTTATATGTATATATATTGACGACTGTTTTTCCATAAATTTTAGAACATAAAATATGATTTTCATATGTAGGTTCACCGTAAGCAGCCTATCGTCACAGTTCGACAATCGGAAATGTTTTGTAACCGTCGGCAGCTACAGGCGTGGGCCAATAAATTTTGAAAGAATACAATCATTTAGTGCAAGATATGTACTACTTGGATCCTAAGGAATGAAGAACGATGAGCCCACGGGGGGAGATACCCCGGTGCTGCTTCGTATTTCTCTTCTTTTTGACACTACCTTCATATATCTTTGTATTTCTCTTCTATGGCAAGTCTGATACCAGTTCATTCATTTGTAACATGGCAGAAAGAAATGAAATTTAGTAGTAGTTAGAAAAGGAAAGCATGCCATTCGAATTGTTATTCGTTTCTATACAGAGATCAGAACAAGAACGAGCATTCTTTCTTTCTCCAGAAAAAATGTATTATACAGTGGACGAAGGGTAGTAGACTCTATAGAGCGCACAAATGCCAGCATTCTCCTCATCAACAAAAACTACCGCATGAGAACAATAGTTAATCTGAATCAGAGAGACTATGCGCAACCAATGGATCAAACAACTATGCTGTTTTAGGTTACCATGAGTTCATGCGATTTAAGCGGTCCAAGCATATCACGCAACAGGCGGGCATGCTTCGCTGTCCTTTGAGGTGTCGACTTCAGAGGGCGGCATCAACTGCCACATCGGATATCCTGGGTAACCAACAAAGGGCATCATCAGTTTCTGTCCTAGAGCTTGTCCCTGTGCATGGAAGGGAGCCATCGGAGCCTGAGCGAACGGGGAGGGCATCATAGTAGGATGAGGCATATAGGCTGGAGTTGCCGTCAAAAGTTTCATCTGGTGCGCTAATGTCTCTTTCTCTAGTTTCAGCTTCTGCTTCTCATCACGAAGTTCATCCTTCTCTGCCTGGAATTTACAGGAAAAATGGTCATGGAATATACTACATCATTACAGACGCAATACAGATCAGTCACTTGGGCCATAGCATGAATTTCACAGCAAGTTCATTTATCATAATAAAAAATGACTTGCCTGAACAACATATGCACTGTGCTCCACAACAATATGCAGTATACCAAATAAGTAACCAGCTATGCGGTTTGTGGTCAGCTCAATCTGACTACTGATTTATTATTTCCTGGCCATAACATTAGGGACGTGTTTGGTTGGTTGAATTGTAATGTAATCAATTAACGTTGGGAGCAGATAACAATAGATTCTGTTTGGTTTGATCAGTCCGTAATTGGATACCAAGGCATCACATCCAGCCCACTACAAAACTGATTACGCCGAATGTTTGGGGGTATCGGAAAACGTTACATTCTCGCGTGAGCCTTGTTTTTCCCCATAGTGCTTTCTTCTTCGTGTTCCTCTCCGTGTAGAGTGCTGCTGCCTTCATGCACCCGGATCCCTACCCACGCCTACAACATCTGGGCCAATTTTCCCGTCCCTGATCTCGGCAGGTGGCTGCCCCCGCGGCGATCCCCGCCTAGTGAAAACAATGGCCATCTGCAGGCTAGGAGGTGTAGGCGGACGAGTGTGGAGGAATACGGTGTCGGAGGCGTGAAAGCCATGACCGGATCACCAGATGTTGCACATCATGACCGCATGGGAGAAGAAGTCAAGGAAGCACAACGGGAGCCCAAGTCGGCGCTGTCGTCTGCCATCCTGCAGCAGCACGCCTGCACGGCTGGCCACACCAGAGCATGTTGGGGTGGGTTATCATGTGGCCAGCGGCTGGGAGTGGGTGGCTGCTGTCACCGGCTGCCAGGGATTGGGGCCATACTGCACTTCAGTTGCTCTAACGTCGGAACCAAAGGGGAAGGCAGCTAGTGCCTCGCTGCCTCGTGGTTGAGCTCACGCTCGCTCGTCGCTCAAGCGCTATGCATGGCGGCTTGCTGGCTACAAAGGCCAGTCCGCCCGCCAGTTAGGCTTTCATGATTGCATCTACCCTGCTGGCTGGAGCATGCACCGGCAAGGTCACGTGGAGCGCCACCGTCGGCCACCGCCAGAAAACCGTTGAATGATCTTTCCTAGAACTGTAATCGGTTAATGTTACAGTTCATAGTAATCAAACAAGTTTCAATTTTCACCCATACTGTTTACAGTGACAGTGTAACTTGATCACGTTTACATTTGCGCCACTGCTCATGAACCAAATATCTTCTACTCCCTCGGTGACGAAATATAAGACGTTTTTGGTGTAGTTGAGTACAAAAACGTCCTATATTTTGTTACAAAGGGAGTAGTATCGTGGGAACAACTACATTAGTGAATGGTAACCAGAAATGTGTTCCATGAGCCAAACTAGAATGGCATACATAGGCATAAACCACATGCGCATATAGCAAAGGCTTGGAATATGATCGGATAACAATTTACCAGACTTAACACTAAAAAAATACTGGACAGATCAGCGGGACAGAGAAATACTCCCTCTGTAAAGAAATATAAGAGCGTTTAGATCACTACTTTAGTGATCTATAAACGCTCTGATATTTCTTTACGGGGGGAATAGCTCTTAACGTAAGTCCCCTAGAAATGATGTTTTCTTCTCAAGAAAATACAATGTGTGGTCTTCATGTTAACAGATATTAAAAAGCTCAATATTCATACGCATTTCGATTGTAGAAGATTGTGTGTGTAAGGCTGCCTTTCGGATTGAGGTGGATTATGATAATCTAACTTCTCCAACTAGTTTTCCCCTATTTTTGTGTTTGGCTAACCAACTTTTCCTTGCTTTTGTGTGTATTTTTCTACAGCAGATTATAGAAGAAGTTCAGCACGGCACAGTTCAGCAACCACAAACTGAGCCCAAGTAAGGTTGCCTCACCTTCAACTCTTTAATCTTGTCTTCTAGACTTCCATTAGTATCCTTTAGCTGCTGCGCTTCAGCACGAAGCTGAGTAACCATGCGAGTCGCATCACTCAGGATAGCAGCTTTGTCAGCTTTTACTGGCTTACCAGGATCCAATGTAGTACCCAATTCAAGGAACCTATCAATAGTAAGAGTTATTGAAAATCTAAGGAGAACTCTTCCATCTAGAACTAGCAAACTTAACGTGTGATGTACCTGTCATTCAGCTTGTCTCTTCTCACTTTTTCCCTACAAGCCTTAGATGTCGGCCTACCACAGGGCTCTGACCTTAAGCTGCAAGCAATAGATTCCCAATTACAGATCTCGTGATCAATGGTCTAATAAGCATGATCTACTGTAAATTAAAACAGCTGCCTTACCGTTTATTGCTGCCGGAATCCTTGGGGAGATCTAACTTGTTCACATGGCTGCCTACTTCCGCACTGTAAAAATAAAGAGGGAAAGTAACTCAAAGGAACGAGCAAGTAGTATAATAAAAATATGATAGTACTCAACAGACAGATGCTTAAATAAGGAAATTAAAGCTTAGACCCCTTGGTATATGAACTTAAATTAACTTCATAGTTATTTATACTTAACTGAACAACCGCAAAAGTCCAAATGATCTTATTCCGCATAATGTCAAACGGAACTAATCATTCTTAAAAGACGAACCAGATTCGTTTGGTACAATTTAGTTTACGTATGGGAAGATGGAATTCTTTGTCAGAAACAATTTAGTTTATGTATGGGAAGATGGAGTTCTTCATCAGAAATGAGGATTGCATCACAATCTCCACGCAATCACAAATAAGTCATTGCATCGAAGTTTTGCAATTATAAAATGGATACTGATGCAGCAAAGAACATCTAGATGACCCCAAAGAAAATCTACCCAAATCCAGCTATTGTATAATTGTGTATCTTGGTCTATTTTCTGTATGTAATATGTGCTATATAACCTACTCAGCAAACTGGTCCTACTGTCTTACTGCACAAATTAGAAACTCTTAGTCTATACATTACCATACTTGTACAGAACTCTAGATTTGACCCCGACCCCCCACCCAGAATTGGAAGTCATCCTGATACAAAAACAATCCAGGTTCGTCCATTTCCAAGCAAACAGCATTAACATATCTGTTCATCAAGAGTCAGGTATACTGAATCGTTATGGCAGGTAAACCCATCATATCATACTCTCCTTGCATCAAAGGAAGATTCCCCCCTCGGCCTGCGTGAATAAGTCTATCTATTCTCCACAGCCATGCCTCGCAGGCTCACAGCAACATAATAACATGTCAGATGCCAAAATAGTCCACCCTACCCACAGTAACCGATCTATTCCACGAACTGAAACAACCTCAGCACATCTATTATGACCAATAATCCATCAGAAGCCTTTGCAAAAACAATTGATCGGAAGCCCTAGGATCCAGATAAAACAGCTGCCTCGACGAGTTATGCATAAAGTACCCAGAGAGCGCGCAATAATCTCTACAAATCCAGCCATCTCGCGGCCGGATTCCCTAAATCTACAAATCCTCTGCAATCATAGCCGTAGAACCCAATACATGAAATCGCGTCTCTAAAATCAATTGGAGACAAAGAATCTCTGGACCAGAAGAGCTGTGCAGCGGGGAGCGCCGGGCTGACCTTGGATTGGACGAGGAGACGGATGCGTCCCACGGGAAAGCGCCGCAGGCAGCGGCCGGGAGGTCCTCGAGGATGCCGCAGTCGAGGAACCAATCGTCGCCGCCGTCGGTCGGAGGGAGAGACATCGGTGCCGCGGCAACCTAGCTCGCCGTCGTCGTCGCCACCGCCGTCGCCGCGTAAAGGTGGGAGACTTTTCCGCCAACCTTTTTGCTTGGTTTCTATTTTCGGTTTCTTTTCGCAGATTTTTAGACGACTTGTGTTGGAGATAGACTGGGGCGGGCGCTGTACGCGATGACATGTGGGCCCAGATGGGCCTTTTTTTATTTGTTTGGTTAGTTTTAGGTTCGGGTTTTTCTGTGTGGTTGTAAGAAAAGATAGGAGTAGGTGAGGTGCAGGGGGGATTAACGTGGCGCGGTGGCGCCGACTGATAGGTCCGGCGAGATCCATCGGGATGCCGCACCAGGTAGATTTGATTCCCATGCCTAATGGTAGGAGCTACTCCTGCACAAGGTTTTTTTAATCTTTGAATTGAATAGTGAAAAAAATTAAAAGAATTGTCAGATGAAATGCCTGAAGATTTTTTTTACACATTATACATGTTTTGCATGTTAAATTAACGATCTAAAGTCATGTGTTTAAATTTATATTGTACCATTGTCAATGCATGTAATTCAGAGATACAAGTCACTCTGTGCATTTAAAAACCGAACCGAAAAACCATATCGAAAATAAACCGAACCGAACCAATTTTATGGTTTTTATGGTTTCTGGTTTCGGTACAGTATGAACTTTTCATACCGATTTGAGCTTGGTTTTTATGGTATATACCGGAAAACCAAATGGTTAACCGAATAAACCGAAGTAAAAAATAAATTTATATTTCTTGAGATGAACAACCATACAAGTTGTCATTTTTCTTGTACATGAGTCAAATGCACTACTAAGCACGTAATTTTTTCTTGTAACATAGTCATTTTTCTATTTTTAAAATGCTAAGCACGTCCATAACCATCAACAGATGAATCAATGCATGCATATATACTTATATATATAGTCATATACTATTTGTGTAGAATAGTATGTGTTTTGAGTCATAAATTTGCTAATTATTATTATGTCATTTTCAAATTTGCGTCAACTTTGGTTTTTATGGTATATACCGAAACCATACCGAAATAATTAGGTATATACCGAAACCGAACCGTATTTTAATTTCATACCATATTTACCGAAGTATTAATACCGTACAAACTGAAAAACCGTATAAATCGAACCATGTAAACCGAATAAACCGAACGCACAGGGTGAGATACAAGCATACCTGGTCACCCTCTTGCTTCCGACAGTGCCATGAGTTGTGTGGTTGAAAGGATCTATATGGTTGACTGATGAATAGACAACTACCAAATATTGAGCATAATTGGTTGGATGCCAACATTTGGCATTGCCAATATCTAGGAAGCCAACATTTAGCTCTTTTTAACAAATTAGAGTTAGCAACAAATAGGTTGTCTAGATATGCAATTAGGTGGACAACCTATATGATGAGTTCAACAACAACAACACAAGCAAGCACAAGATACGGCACAAATATAAGCTTGCACAAAGTAAATGTGATAAGTAACCACAAGTGGAGTTGATGTAGACGAGGATGTGTTACCAAAGTTCCTTCCTGTTAGGGGGAGTACGTCTCCGTTGGGCAGGTGTGGAGGCATAATGCTCCCCAAGAAACCACTAGGGTCACCGTATTCTCCTCGGGCCCTCGCACAATTCAAGATGTCGTGATTCCACTAGTGGTGCCCTTGAAGGCGTCGACCGAACCTCTACAAACAAGGTTGGGGCAATCTCCACAATTGAATTGGGGGCTCTGAGGTGACCTCTTCCGTCTAGGGTGCCCAAACATCCTAGAGTAACAAGATCCGCAAGGAATTAGTGGGGGCAATCAAATATCGCTTCGTGAAATGTAGATTGAGGCCCTCTCAAGCAAACCCTAGAGAATCAACAAGATTTGATGGCTAGGCAGAGATCGGGCAAAAATAAGCTTTAGGGCGCAACAATGGAACAAAGGGATAAGAGGTAGGTCATCTTGGGGAAGAAGACCCCTTTATAGTTGGGAAGATTCCAACCGTTATCTGCCCACATTTTGCACTCAAGCGGTACTACCGCTCGGGGGAGCGGTATTATCGCCTAGTGTAGTAGTTCCAGTTGTAGTGTGCAAGTGAGCGGATCACAGAGAAGGTAGTGCCTCTGGAACGATACTACCATTCTTAGCGGCGGTACTACCGCTAAGTATTGCGGACTACGGAGGAATAGTGTGTTGGGGAACGTAGCATGCAATTTCAAAAAAATTCCTACGATCACGCACGATCTATCTAGGAGATGCATAGCAACGAGAGGGGGAGAGTGTGTCCACGTACCCTCGTAGACCGAAAGCGGAAGCGTTAGGTTAACGCGGTTGATATAGTCGAATGTCTTTGCGATCCAACTGATCAAGTACCGAACGTATGGCACCTCCGAGTTTAGCACACGTTCAGCTCGATGATGTCCCTCGAACTCTTGATCCAGCAGAGGGTCGAGGGAGAGTTTCGTCAGCACGACGGCATGGTGATGTGATACGCGCAGGGCTTCGCCTAAGCACTACGACACTATGACCGGAGGAGTAAACTGTGGAGGGGGGCACCGCACACGGCTAAGAATAACTGTTGTGCTTTGGGGTGCCCCCCTGCCCCTGTATATAAAGGAGGGAGAGGGAGGAGGCCGACCCTAGGGGCGCGCCAAAAGGGGGGGGTCCTACTAGGACTCCTAGTACTAGTAGGATTCGGCCCCACCTATTTTCCTTCTCATGGAGGTGGAAAGGGGGAAGGAGAGGGAGTAGGAGAAGGAAATGGTGGGTGGCGCCCCCTTCCCTAAACGAATTCGGCCTCCTCCCTTGTGGGGGCGCACCAACCCCTTATGGGCTGGTTAGCCTCCCTCCTATGGCCCATATGGCCCATATCTTTCCCCGGGGGGTTTCAGTAACCCCTCCGATACTCCGGTATGTACCTGATACACTCCGGAACTCTTCCGGCGTCCGAATACTACCTTCCAATATATCAATCTTTACCTCTCGACCATTTCGAGACTCCTTGTCATGTCCGTGATCTCATCCAGGACTCCGAACAATCTTTGGTCACCAAAACACATAATTCATAATACAAATCGTCATCGAACGTTAAGCGTGCGGACCCTACAGGTTCCAGAACTATGTAGACATGACCGAGACACATCTCTGAGCAATAACCAATAGCGGAACCTGGATGCTCATATTGGTTCCTACATATTCTACGAAGATCTTTATCGGTCAACCCGTAATGACAACATATGTTATTCCCTTTGTTATCGGTATGTTACTTGCTTGAGGTTCAATCATCGGTATCTTCATACCTAGTTCAATATCGTTACCAGCAAGTCTCTTTACTCGTTCCGTAATGCATCATCCCGTAACTAACTCATTAGTTACATTGCTTGCAAGGTTTATTATGATGTGCATTACCGAGAGGGCCCAGAGATACCTGTCTGATACTTGGAGTGACAAATCCTAATCTCGATCTACGCCAACCCAACAAATACCTTCAGAGATACTTGTAGAGCATCTTTATAATCACCCAGTTACGTTGTGACGTTTGATATCACACAAGGTATTCCTCCGGTATCTGGGAGTTGCATAATCTCATAGTCAAAGGAATATGTATAAGTCATGAAGAAAGCAATAGCAATAAAACTTAACGATCATTATGCTAAGCTAATGGATGGGTCATGTCCATGATGTGATCTTGTTTATCAAATGACAACACATGCCTATGATTAGGAAACTTAACCATCTTTGATTAACGAGCTAGTCTAGTGGAGGCATACTAGGGACACTTTGTTTTGTCTATGTATTCACAGATGTATCAAGTTTCCAGTTAATACAATTCTAGCATGAATAATAAACATTTATCATGATATAAGGAAATATAAAATAACAACTTTATTATTGCCTCTAGGGCATATTTCCTTCAGTCTCCCACCTGCACTAGAGTCAATAATCTAGTTCACATCGCCATGTGATTTAACACCAATAGTTCACATCTTTATGTGATTAACACCCATAGTTCACATCGCCATGTGACCAACACCCCAAGGGTTTACTAGAGTCAATAATATAGTTCACATTGCTATGTGATTAACACCCAACGAGTACTAAGGTGTGATCATGTTTTGCTTGTGAGAGAAGTTTAGTCAACGGGTCTGTCACATTCAGATCCGTATGTATTTTGCAAATTTCTATGTTTACAATGCTCTGCATGGAGCTACTCTAGCTAATTGCTCCCACTTTCAATAAGTATCCAGATTGAGACTCAGAGTCATCCAGATCGGTGTCAAAGCTTGCATCGACGTAACTCTTTACGACGAAATCTTTATCACCTCCATAATCAAGAAATATCTCCTTAGTCTTCTAAGGATAATTTTGACCGTTGTCCAGTGATCTACTCCTGGATCACTATTGTACCCCTTTGCCAAACTCATGGCAAAGTACACAATAGGTACACAATAGGTATAGATCTTGATGCACAATATATAAGCAGCTTCACCGAGGTCTTTCATTGAAAAAATCTTATTCAAGTATCCTTTTATGCTATCCAGAAATTCTATATCATTTCCAATCAACAATATGTCATCCACATATAATATTAGAAATGCTACAGAGCTCCCACTCACTTTCTTGTAAATACAGGCTTCTCCAAAAGTCTGTATAAAACCATATGCTTTGATCACACTATCAAAGCATATATTCCAACTCCGAGAGGCTTGCAGCAGTCCATAAATGGATCGCTAGAGCTTGCACACTTTGTTAGCACCTTTAGGATCGACAAAACCTTCTGGTTGCATCATATACAACTCTTATTTAAGAAATCCATTAAGGAATGCAATTTTGACATCCATTTGCCAAATTTCATAATCATAAAATGCGGCAATTGCTAACATGATTCGGACAGACTTAAGCATCGCTATGGGTGAGAATGTCTCGTCATAGTCAACTCCTTGAACTTGTCGAAAACCTTTTGCAACAAGTCAAGCTTTGTAGACAGTAACATTACCGTCA